GCTTGGACTCGCAAAGAAAGGAATATTCGAATATTAAACGCCGCGTCTACTTAATTTCATCGATTAATTAACTCGTCGGCCAACATGAATGCATCTCGTTAATTAACATCAACAGCAGACGATGAATTTGTTGAATTCATACGATTTATGAGTGTGGGATGGGCAAATCCGGCCGAGGCAGAAAGGGCCCAGAATTTTCCCCAACAATTGCAACCCCAGATGTCCCGCAAACTGTAGAGAAAGTTAGGCCTGGGACTTGGGAATCGTTTTATGGCGAGTCCTTCAGGCCATGCGTTTAAGACACTAAGGTGTGGATGCGTTTGTGTAGGAAGGACGAATTTTGTGCAGATGAGGAAGAAAAGGGCAGAGTGTATCGAGAAGCCAGAGAGTGAGTGTCGAAAAAGTCAGACAGTGAGTTGAGAGTTGCGTGAGAAAGAAGGGAGTGTGAATTTAGTAATTAAGGAAATAGTGTTAAACGTCACTTTACAACCATTATAACCATTATTAAACCAATTTTCGTTTATTCAACCTTAAATAAACAACAACTTCTCTATCAAAGTTCCTGTTAATTGGGATCTCAAGCCGAGGATCCTACAAACTGAGGGCTCGTCCAGAGAATCCTACACAAGTGAGCAAAGAATTGAAGAATGAAAGGGGGTTTTTATCAAGTAACGAAACAGTATCTGTAAGATTTTACTAATCTATTAATGACCGAGTATAGTTAATCGTAATGTTAAAAGTTCCTTTCGGAAATTTTACGGATGATTATTACAGATTGCAATTATAACTTATGGCTAGAAAATATATTATAGGTATGTTATAATAATATAGATTATTAATGATATAGGTATATTATTAATATTATATAGGTATATTATAATAATATAGATTATTAATGATATAGTATATTATTAATATTATATAGGTATATTATAATAATATAGATTATTAATAATATAGGTATATTATAATAATATAGATAATATTATAATATATAATAGGTATATTATAATAATATAGATTATTAATAATATAGGTATATTATAATAATATAGATTATTAATAATATAGGTATATTATAATAATATAGATAATATTATAATATATTATAGGTATATTATAATAATATAGATAATATTATAATATATTATAGGTATATTATAATAATATAGATATATTATATATAGATATTATATATATCTAATATAGATATCTGAATTATTATAGCTTGCAATCGTAAATTATGGCTGAAAAGACCAAGCAATAGGTGACCTCATTAAATAAGTTATCATAATGTTAAGAATATTGGACTTTCTTTTAATTTTATATAGCTATAAATCCTGGTTGAGAGATTAGACTGCAAATTTTTATGCAAATTTTACTTTCAAGAATGTGACGGGAAAATTGAAGATCAAACACAACATAACTCATAACTAAATATGAAAATCTATTTTCTTAAAATAGAAAATGTTATTCACGAATTAAGTAATTCGTTTATTTATTAGTTTTTCTGATTTGAAACGATTCTGATTGGAAGTCGTTCTTTAAGTCATTTCGTGTTGTAAGATAAGATTTCTCTCGCATTTGAGAAGAGTTTTCATTTGGCAATCGCTCGAATTCTTCGAATTTTCAATTTTCAAATTTCTATATTGAGATGTTCACATTTCAACTACTATTGCAAAATCTTTCGTTGAAAGTTAAAAAGCATATATATTGTTTCTTTCAATAATCTACATTATATTATTATTGTAAATGCAAGGATTTGTACTTTAAAATTTAACACAAAGCCTAATACAGTGTCGTATGAGAATAAATTCAAAATCCGTCTTATTCGAATTACCATTTATCGTAAAAGAAGTTAAAAAGTACAAAAAAATACCTTCTATATATTTAATTTTAAGTCTTGCGCACTTCGTGTAATTTTTGAACTCTGCCAGATACATGTACATTAAATTTTCACTGTAATATTAAATTTCAACTAACATTCCTCTAAAACTTTCTTCATTAATCAGTCTTGTCCTACCGTCTCATAATTGATAATTTTTAAAAACTATCCTCCGTTCTTAGTCTTTGTATTGTAAAGATCGTCCATCTCAAGTAAAAAGATGATGTTCCTCTTTCCCTTCGACGTATTTAGAATCACTCTCTGCCCTCATGTCACCGGTTACATGACATTCTGTTTCGTACTTTACATTCAATACTTCAAAACACGACGTAATAAATCAATCTTCTCAGTGAGAAAACTTGAGTGAATTAGTAAATAAAGAAACCAGTAATCAAGTAAATAAAGAAAACTCGTAAAAATACGAATCACAGAAACCCGGGGAACTTGAAACGAAGTACCAGAGAAAGTATTGGAAAGAAAATCGCTCGGTCTTTATCTTTCGTGTCGTATGCGAGTCACGTCAAAAAAAAAAAAAAAAAAAAAAAAAAAAAGTAGAGAGAAAGGAAAGAAAAGGAATAATGAGGGAGATAACAAGTCTCGGTAGGCATTCACAGCTCGACGAAGCTCCGATACGCGATGGAATGACGTCTGGTGCCGATTCACGCGACACGAGATCTCCGTCCGATTGAAACGTCTTGCGCAATCGTCTTCCTTTATCTGTCGGAATTCGCCCGAGCCTTATATACGTTTCTGCTCGTGCCGATAGACGCAGAATATCGCGACACAGCCGTGAATGTGAATGGTCCACGACGATCGGGTCCGTCGCCAGCAGATAAAACCGGACTTGCGTTCGGCGAGTAACGAGTCTTCGCGCGGCTCTCCCGGCTGCAACTGCAACGAGCCGATCATCCGTCTGAAATCCGTCGCGGATTCGATTTCTTCACGAGAGAACAGAAGATCTTCAGTGAGAAACAGATAGTCTAAAGAGAGTCGGATAGGTACGTTGAAAGTGATCGAAGAAGAGTGTGAAATAAGCGCGGCTCGTATAGCTGACTGATTGATGTAACAAGTACAGTGAAAGGGATTCTGGTTGACGAGTTATGTATTTCGAGGCCTGTGTGTTGTGAATATCCTCGGGTTGGAGAAAGTCAGTTTGCGGAGCATTTGGAATGTGTGTTGTCTAGTTCGGCTCATCGTTTCGAATCCTTCTGTTTATATCGTTTCGTCTGTATTTAGATCTCGATCTACTGTTTGAATTTCCTTCCTCGTCATTCTTTTTCCTTTCGTTTTTCGGTACTTTGACTCTTAATTTGGAATTTCATAGTGAACGTATATTTAAATTTCATGCATTTTTTTTTTTGCTTTAACACAGTGATTTAAGATATTTCATGTACGTTTAATCAAGAGTTTAATTTATTCTATTTCATTTTCTTGATGTGATAATTTCAAACACAAAATTCATCTCCCATTTTGTTTGAAGTTTCAGTTGAACATGTTATTTCAATTATCCACGTACATTCATACACATAATATACGTAATATGAATTTATTCTACTTTTTGTTCGAAGTCCAAATTGAACGTGTTAATTCAATTATTTATTTATTATCATACATGTAGATGTGTGTTTTTAAATGATATAAACGATATAAATAAATATAATAGAAATTCATTTTATTTTTTATGCGTCAATGTTTTAGTATTGTGCTTTTGTTTCAGAATGATGACAGGCGTGCGTTAATTAAAGACACGTGCAGTAATGTGTTCGTAATTCAGAGAATACTCGAGTATTCAAGCATTAGAGTTATTTTGTACCTTGACAAATACGTATAATCGTACGTTTACACCGAATTGTTAACCCGCTGCTTTGTTATCGTTAATCAGATTTATTATCACATCATGATTGTTCTCTACTCAAAATATTCTCTGACAACAGTTCCTGCAATTGACTTTACTGTTTCTTGTTCAACTCGTATTTCAATTCGAAATAATTTTATATAACATAATATATTATTATATATATGTATCACTTTGCTAATAGAAATTTACTATATATGATTATATTATCTACAAATCACTTAAAAATTTTAATCCAATTCGTATACTTCTGTGACAAACTTTGATATCATTTTATATAATTTAGCATTGTTATGTTGGCAAAAATTATCATTACCTGATATATGACAAATTTGTAAAATTAATTAATGAAAATGATTGCGAGGAATAAACAACGATGCTCATTTGATATGTAAGATTCTTCAATTTATAACACTGCAGCTTGAATTAATGGGGATCAATGACTAAAATAATCAGCCAGGCTACAAGATCATTCTATGTCATGTGTTCCGTGTGTTAAATGGTTAAATGCTCGCGTATCAATGAATTAAAAACGTTATTGTGTGATTGTCAAATTGTTCATTGAATATTTCTCGAACAAGAAAATTTCTTAATGAGATATATCTCAAACTCGAGTAAAATGTGAAGAAATTGCTATTTTTCATTTCAATTTAATGTCAAAAATTTTCTGAAAAAACGTCGAACGTTTCCTATTTGCTGAAATAAGAAATACAAAAACATAAAAATCCGAGAAGCATGTTAGATGAAAGTCAAATAATAATTTAATCATAAAATTACAAATCATATATAACATATATACATTCAATATTTAGACAAAAAGAAAAAAATGCATTTAACTTGGACTTCAAACAAAAGGAAAATAAAATTATTATAAAAGAAAAAAAACTATAATAGAAATTTAAGCATATAAATACACTAAATAATATACCAAATATTTCAAATCGATAATCAAATATACAATTTTGCATTATTTACATTACTTTCGTAAAGGAACATTATTAAAAATAATATATCAAAAATGATCGAGAATTTTTGTGCGTATAGAACAAGATTTGACACGAAGTATTCCTTTGCCACGAAGGGGAGATGAATTTCTTATGGCAAGTGGATGAGGTGGAGAATAAATATTTCATTAATTGGTGGAGACTTCAAGGCTTGCTGTGTCAAAGGGTCTTGCTAGTTTACTTAGGAGATTTCTGGTTGATGACATTCTTCGTAGGACTGTGGAATCCGATTTTCTGGGAAGTAGTTGAGGATTCGGATGACGACGACGACGATCCATTGAATTCTTTGTGAAACTGAAAGAAAGAAAAAAAGTTATGAATGTCCCGAAAGAATTTCCATTTCAGGTAAATGAAATTTCATATCAAGTTGTAATTTCCACTATTCTCTGACAATTAAATTATTGATATTAGATCCACGATAATTAAATTAATAATATTCAGCGAATTTTTTGATTAAAAAGAAATCTGATTCTGAATTGCTTGTGGCATGATATTAAATCAAATTATTAATATATATATATATATATTAATATTAATTTATGAATTAAATAAGAAATTCTTCGTTTATTCGTATATAGAAAATCTTATAATTTCATTAGCATCGTTCAGATGAAAAAAATTATACATAATTGTGGATTATTATATATAATACTAATATACTAATCGATTGTGAATTTATTCTGAATTGAATTTTATTCTTTACAATTTTAGAAAGAAATTTCTATTTCCTATGAATTTGATAAAAATATATTCCTACAAATATTTATCAATAAATTCAAATTTAATTCGTCTGTGATCAAGATTCCCAGACGTCTCTAGATATCGAATATTGATCGTTTTGTCATTAAATGCCAGCAAATCCTTTTTTTAAGCAAGAAGAAAGAAGTCAACAGAAAATTCGTGAAAAGTCATATTGGCGATAAATTGTTAATCGACGCATAGAATGGACAAATGCGAAACAATTGAAGAAGCAGGTGTACAGTTGTGACGTCTGAAAAGGTACTTACTACTAAGAAAGTTGAAAATGAGTATCGCAAATGGGATAAATGGCTCGAACGGGCACGTGGACGGACATTTGGAGAACAAGGTAATCTTGTTATCGGTAAAAATACTTCCACAATGAAATTTTTTTATCACCTTATCTGATCTCTTTCCTGATCTAGATAAAACTCTAGTGTAATGATATTAATTAATTTTCACTGTGATGCCATTCTATGTAATTATAATTCCTAAGGTAATTATTAATAATAATTATGTATATATATATGCACATATTTCTAGTATAAAGTCATAAATTGTTTGTAACACGAAAGATGAATCATAATTGAAATTCTTTTACGCGAACTATATTCCTTAGTTTTTGATGTTATAAATATTCTTCACGTGATTTGCGACATCCTGCATCTAATGATAAGATATGAAAATTTTCATAGAATCGTTCTATATTGGTATGTCTTTGTCTATAGTATTGTTTCAGTCTCAGTCAACATAATTATCAAAGTATATTATATGGAATAATTCAAAATTTTGTTAAATAATTTTTCAATAATATATCTTTTATTTCAATATCGTTTGTACTGTTTCAGTTTAAGTTATTATCAGGCAACTTTCAAAATAATTATCAAACGAAATTATATCGCGTAGAATATTCTAAATTTGACTAAAAAATTTTTATTCGGATATTCTTGAAACTTTTAACAATATCTTTTCCTAATTATCATTTACTTATTGTTTTAATACATTTTGAAAACCAATTTGAAAATTTCGTACACACTATTATAAAATTAATATGAAAGTTTAATAAATTAAATTCATTTGGTAATTAAATAATTCCAATTTCGTTATTATTATATAATTAACTCTACTATTGTTATTATATTTACAATTACAATTTTAATAACTGACAAAGGAAATTATATAATGTGGAGTGCTGTTCAACTTCATTAATATTCAATATGAATTCGAAAATATTCCGAAGAAATATTTTTATCATTACGTGTTCATCGTCGCAATTCTCTTCGTAATTACGTAAAACTTGTAAATATTTAAAGATAAAAATAAGTGGAAAGTCATACGTAGTTCTACGTTTATTACATAAATCCGTATACTGTCGTAAGTAGTAACACTAAAGTAAAGATACTGAAAAGTTTTTGTTGAAAATTGGAAATTTACACTTCAATGTATTGCATGCATCAGGAAATCTAAAATGATTTCCTTTCAGAGTATACCGGATGCAGAGGAGGAGAGGAGACGAGAGAAGAAAGGTGTTATATATCAGGTAGAATTTCTTCTTGTTAATAACTAAACTGCAAATTTTTATGCAAATTCGTATTTTCGGCAGGATGCTTAAAAAGATTGTATGTGATTTATTAGTTATAATTGCTCTTAATGGTTAAATGGAAGCAACTATTTCTATTTTATTATTTTATCATTAAAAAAGTTTCTATACAACATTAGAAATGGTCGGAATTAACAGAAGATAACAACATACATAAAATAGTAGAAGTTATACAAGAATAAAATTTTCTTTTTCGAAAATATATTATTTTGTATAACTTAATGTTACGAAAGGTCTTAAAATATTAAACAATAACAATAATAATAATATTATAGTATATTAGTATTTATATATACTATAATATATATTACATTTATATATTAACTGGTAAAAGATCGTTTTACGTGCGAAATATTATAAAAAGCACTATATTTTTGATATTTTATATATTTTATATATTTTTTCATTATTTGTATATATTTTTTGCAATTCCGTGCCTTTGAATTTCTTATAAGAAACGCATAAAAATTTGCGGTCTATTAATAATGCTTCTAAATAATTCTAATAATACTAATCTTGGTTGGTATATTTCCTTATCTCTGTAAAAGCGAACCACGATTTCTGAATCATTATTGCAACATACGTTAAATTACGTTAAATCACGAAGGCGACTATATTCAATAACAAAATACTTACATAATCAGTTTCTTTGATATTACCTATTTCAAACTGAGAATGAATAGGAAAATGAAAGACTGAAGGAAGGGGAATTGATCAATAAATTGAAATCTATTATAAAATTACGATAAGTTCACGATTTACATGAAAGCTTTCTTTAATTTGAAAGATAAATCAACAGGGGAAAAAAAATAAAAAAATAAAAAATTGAACCGAGAAGAGTTATTCAATAGCACTTTAGAATAATTATTATGATAACCGATAAAAAGCAAAGCAAGATAGAACGTAATAGCATAAAATTACTATAGAATGTATGAAAATACGTAGTTTATGAACAAAGACATTATAATCTAGAACGAATTAAAAATATTCTTAATATTATAAATTAATTGTAATGAACTGAAAATAGTCAAAGATCACTTACGACTTCATTATTACGACAAATTATTAATTTCTATTAGGTGAGTTGAGATAGATTACGAATATTTGATGTCCGGAGCAAAATCGTTTATCGTGAAATCGTTTTAGTCGAACAATTTTTATTCCTGCCTTCTAGAGATTTAGTCTTTGGCACATACGTCACACATACGCGTAAGAAAATAATGCTAATAACAGCGATAACGAAGAGAACTTGCGATATTTTTTCGGTTTGATTAGACAATATCAGCGGAGATAGTATCGAGTGAGTCACACAAAAATGTTCTTATCTCTCGACTACGTTGATTGTGATGCTACTGTTGTTTAAAATGGGATTAAATTGTATTTTTTTTTTTTTTTCTTTTACTTGTTTAAAAATGAAACTTTTCATTGCTCGATCTCTTTCTAAAGCACTCGACGGGGATTAATTACTGTCACAAAAGTCTTATGTTATCACGTGAGTTTACGATCGGACGCACTTGGAAAAGTGTAAAAAATTCATTTAATCGAATTGAGATGATTCACTGTATGTATGTACATATAGGGTGTGCTTGAATATCTTAAATATGTTTGTTATCTCATTAACTTTTATTTTCCAGAACGTTTCCTTATCTGTTCTCAGTGGAGCTTACATTTAAAAAAATTCCACGGTCTGTGTTTTCAATAGCGCATGTAATATAAAATTTTTTATGGTTTATCAATAATTCACAACATGCAAAACTTGTTTGCTTCGAAGAGGAAAAAATTTACGGCTTTACAATAGTGACTTTATAATTTTCACATAAAATACTGAGTGATTTTATATAACTCAGTATTTTATGTGTACATGAATTTTAGAGTAACACTGCGAAAAATGTTAAGTAGCCTGTAAGATATGCAAAAAAATATCTACTTTATTCAACTCTGCACGATTAAAAAACTAGCTTACATGCAAGATGCTAATTTAAACATTATTTCTGTAGTAAAAATTAAATATTCTAAGACCTCATTACTTTGTAAAAAATTTCTTTAAAAGAAAATACTTCAAAGGACAACTGGAAACTGCTTCAATAAGCATTCGAATGTATTTAAACTGTACAATTTGCAATTATTACTTTATAAAAAGAGAAGCTTTTCAAATTTTATTCGTTTGAGAATTTTGGTTAAGTAAAATGGACAGTACATGGTGGAATATTAATCTATGGATTATCAAAACTGTACGATTCATGGTAATCTTGATTCAATAATTAATTGTTTTCATAACTTCCTAAGATTTATTTTCTGAATTCTACTCGAACATAACATAATTTACATTTTTCAACCATTTATTTTTTTTCCAGTTGTAATGTGTGAATGTGATTTGAATATAAGTATACATTAAGAACCTGATTCCTCGTATCTTTTTACTAGCAAAGATATGTTATATAAGGTCTTAAAAAAAAAAAGAAAAAAAAATAGAGTTAGAAATCTTGATAGAAAATGTAGAGATAAATGAGAAATCAAGTTCTATCTTGACTTTTAAGCTACCTAAGCCAAGACTCTAAGTTATCTAACCTGCTATCTAATGTACTTAAATTTCTGTCATTACAAGTACATACAGTTCTTCTATTTTTCTTTTCCTTTCGCGACACTCTCATGATTCAACGAATTCCTAGAGACTAAAAGTAGATTAGAGACTTAAAACTATAAGTATAAGTGTCTCAAAACATGGATATTAATAACAACAATAACAATAATATAACAAGAATATATATAATAATAAAAAAAAAAAGAACTAAGTTCACAGATATAAAAATAAAGGCTTCCTCCTTTAAAATGATTACAGACAGAATTTTCTACGATGTTACAGGAATTCCAATGTCGAAAGTTTTCTGGTTATAATTTGCTAATTTCTTTAGTTTTATAGAATAGTGTATATACACTCCATCATCATTCAAAAATCTTAAGAGATCTTACATTTAAAGAGTAACAAGTGTCGTAATTTTATTGATTTTTAACGTGTACTTTATGATAAGTAAGCAGAAGAGAATTTTAACGTCGCATAATTTATTAGGTGCAAATGCGTAAGTCGTTCAAGAATAATTGATAAATCGATGAAGCTTTGTAGAAATCAGTAAAGAATATTTAGTGATATTTTATTTAAATATTATCGTGACTAGAATTTTTGTGAATTTTCACGATGATGAAGAAACTAAATGAAAAGACAATTTTGAGAACTGCACGAATCATCAACAATGTTACCTACTGAATTGTTTTTCTCGACTAAAACTTCGAAACCAATATAATAATTCACCGACGTTTTAACTGTACGGCAGGCTCGATTAAATTATCAGCGTAGACAAAGATATGTATGTTAAAAAGATTTGCGTAACTCAAATACCGTGGTATTATTCAACTTTAACTTAACGCAACTTTACGTAAACCTCTCGATGATATTTCAAGGCTTAATTTAATTATTCCTACTTGTCCGTCTGTAAACCTTCATCTCAAACCGGTTTCGATATTGGTCACATAAAAACAGACTCTCAGACGATAGTGAGATCGTTAGAGAAAAAAAAAATCCTCCCTGATTTACTGGAACTTAGATAACTTTATTCCTTTGTTCACTCGATCAACTTCAAAAGAAATATATCAAATTAATGTTGAATAACAAACACTGCCGTTGAATAAGCTTGGGACAAGCACTATATTTGTTTCAATGCTAAAATAATTAATTAACACTTTATGCAACGAGGAATCTATAAAGTCTTGATATATTTTGTATAACAAAATTTTGTTTGTTTGTTTTATATCAATCTATCAATGAATTATATTTTAATTTGTATTCTAAAATCTTTTATTATTAAAAGATATCTACATTTATATCTATTATTTATTATAAAACACGCGGGTAATTAAACAATTTTATTATCTACGGTGAATATTTTTACTCGATAAATTATTCTTTTAATTGAAAGATTTTAATAAATATTTCCATTATCGATTATTGTTCCGATTATTTCTATTATACTATCGTCGATAATTTCTTTTTTTAATTAAAAAATTTTGATAAATATTTTTGTTATCGATTATTTCTATTATTCTATTATCGATAATATTTTGTGACCGATTATGTTTATATGTGTATATTTTAATGAATGCACCTTTTATGCATATTTACGATTTCAGAGAAACGTTTCATCATCGTGCAGAGTCACGTAAATATTCATGTGTAATGTTATGTAGATATTTATGTAACATGGAAATCTTAATAACGAGATTTTTGTTCTGTCAGTGATTAATGTCAGTAATGAGAATAATTTATATGTTTATTCGAAGCAATTTTGAAATCATTTTCAACAATCTCAACAATACTCCATTATAACCGATCTTTATATCCAATATAAAGTGTCTTGAAAAAAAAAAAAAATGTTTCTGGAGGGATTTGTATTTATATACAATACTTTTCTCTTTCTTAAAAAGAGTAAGATACTCTGTACAAAATTTTGTATAACTCTGAATACTCTGCAAATTTTTATGCATTTTTAAATTTTCACGAACGCAACTAAAGAAGTGGAACTCAAATAGAAATTTGTTTCGTCTGTTAAATATTACAATAAATACTCTATTTTTGGATATTTTATATACTTTCCCATGTTATGTATGTGCGCTTTTAAATTTTCCAAAAATGCATAAACTTTTCACCATTTCTCTGCCATATTAATGAATTAAATAATAACGAGTGAAATAAATAATGAATTAAATAAATACGGAATACGAAATATTATCTTTGAAATATTCGTTTGTAGATAATTATGTCGCTGTGCGCGAATTCCTCGGTTCTGGGTCCATCCATGGCTTTCGGCTATAGTGGTGTTGCATTGCAGCCATTGATGTCACCTACTAGTGACGTGAAAATCAACAAAGTTCAAGCAAATTGGATTGGTCAGTATTATTTAAGTTTTAATATTAATTATTATTATTGATTCTTATTGTTTTTTCATTATAATCAATATTATTTGTGTTTTCTAATTGTATCATTTTACATTATAGTTTACTATTATCGTCTGAATTATTGAATTATTGTTTAAAATATTTAATTATTGTTTAAGATATCAAAGTTATCGAAGTTTTGTGAAAAATTTGTGACTGAATCAACGTTTACAAGATTAAAATATCATTCATACTAGCTTCGATTATCCGAAATATTCTTATTACATTCATTTTTATTTATTTGTTCCTCTATATCTCAATATTAAGAGATATAATACTTTACTACATATTGTGTTTGCCATATAAAATATTTTGAAGCCTCATCAACATTGCAATGACTGTCGCAATTACATTCCTGAAATTTTAAACCAATTTACACATCTGCAAGTTATGCTCTTTTTCGACATGCTAGATTATTATAATCTAGCTGATCTAGCTAGTCAGAGATCCGATAAGAAAATTAGTACAATTGCTAGAAGTTCAAATAGTATAACACGTTACAATAATATGTTGAATAAACATATCACGAGATGAATTCATTCTTCATTTGTCATATGCGCTTCACTCGGTATTAGACTTTTAGCAGGCACTCGATCAATAAATGAATTAAATTATTAATTTTAAAAACAGTATCAATCCCCGGCGACGTTCTCTACTGAAAATTAACAATCCAATTGTACAATCCACAGCGACAGCGACAGCATTGGGCATTCCATTTGGTTGCATTCTCTCCAGTTACACCATGAGACGCGGAAGAAAGTTGAGCTTGTTGATAACGTCCGTCATATCCTTCATTGGCTGGTTCGTCATTTATCTCGCTGGAACGTACGAGCAAATTCTTGTAGGAAGAATTATTTCCGGAATTGCAACAGGCACGGCCTCGGTACCAGCCACCGTTTATAGCGCGGAAGTTGCTTCTCCGAAATGGCGATCGACTATGGCTACGTGGACCAGTATAGCCATTGCCGCCGGTGTTTTAATCGTTTACATTTTCGGCTACGCTTTCAAGGTAAATAAAATTCCATGTACGTAATTCGTCTTTTCTTTCTTCTTTTCTTGCTTCAGTGCTAAATATTCTTAAATATGTTGAGCACGATATATAATATTGTATTACATATTTACGTAGTATATTACATTTCGTTATATATTATATTGAACAATACATATTGTATATAATTATACAACACAATGTAATATAATATGTAATACAGTATGATACAATGCACGTATCTTTATTTAATTATATTGCACGGTATTTATACAATAAAGAAATTGTACTCTACCAATATACTAATTCGGAAAATTTTCGGTTAATAATTCGTGACTAAATTGTTCCATCGACTATGATAATAAAATGACATTTGCACGACAAGAGTTATTTCTTAATGAGAATTACATTTAACCGATAAACTTTCAATCTCGATTGAGAAAAAATTTTATTATACCGATTTACTCTTCGGCTCGTGCAAAGCCCAAGTCATTTTAAATTTCGCAAAACATACAATGCTGTATCAATCAGAAAAACCAGAAAAATCACTCGCGCGCCGACTCACATTGAACTTGATCTTTCATTCCCAAAGGACAACTGGCGAATGGTGGCTCTGATGTGCGCCATGTTCCCCCTGGTCTCGGCCGTGCTGACCTTGGCCGTCGTCCTAGAAACCCCGATCTGGTTACGAGACAGAGGTCGTCTAGACGAGGCGTTACAGGTGTTGAAAAAATTCCACGGCATCCCGAAAGACGTGCCGCCCCCGCCGCACTTGTACCAAGAATTAAAACCACATCCGCAAGAGAGGAAGCAAAATTTCATGAAACACATGGCCAAGAGGAGCGCGATGCTGCCCTTCGGCATCATGATCGGCTACTTCTTTTTCCAGCAGTTCTCCGGGATATTCGTCATCGTTTACTACGCGGTGAACATTGTGCAAAGCGCCGGCGTCACTATAGATCCAAATTTGGGGGCGGTTTTGATCGGGCTCACCAGGTTGTTAGGGAGCATATTGGTGGCGTGCGTGTCGAAGAAATTAGGAAGACGAAAACCTTCGATCGTTTCTGGTGCTGCAATGACGATTTTCATGGGGGCGTTGTCTGTGTACCTGTTAGTGAAGGATAAGGGATACGCGATAAACGACGGAGGTCTGGTACCTGTCATATGTATACTTATGTACATTTTTGGCAGCACCCTCGGCTTCCTGGTGATTCCGTTCGCCATGGTTGGTGAAGTATACCCAGCGAAGGTGAAAGAAGTATTAACGGGACTGACCACGTGCATCAGTTACATATTCAGCTGCATCACGGTGAAGACGTATCCAGATATGGAGCTGGCTATGGGTAAACACGGGGTGTTCATATTCTTCACGGTGATATCGTTGTTAGGCACGATATTCGTTGTGTTTTTCTTACCTGAGACTAAGGGGAAGTCGTTGAGAGAAATTGAAGACATGTTCGCCGGGAAGAAGGAGGTCGCCGACTCGCAGGAGAAAGAGAAGATGGTAGATCTGAAGGATGTTTCTGCAGGAGTGTAGTTACCTGTGGATTAAGTGAAATGTTAGAAAGATAGAAAAAACGAGTGGCAAGTTGACGATAAATTCGAGGTTTCCTTTTTTTTAGAGGTGGAAGAAAATGATGAGCTGAAATATTTTGCAGGCAAGAAGGAAATGACAACAATAAGTAACAATAAATCTGAACTTTTTTTAAAATGAAAATAAGTGATAAGTTAAGGATTAATTGGAGATTCTGAAAAGAAATGATAAGTTTGAATTTCTTACAGAAATATGATCGGTCAATAATAAATTTCTACTTTCTGAGAGGTCAAGGAAAATGATAAGTTAATGATAAATTTAAGTTTTTTTTAAAGGCGAAAAGAAATGATAACGTGATAGAAAACCAGAATTTTTTCGAAAGAAGTGACAGTTGTAGTAGTAATTATAAATTAATAATAATAATGAGTTCTTTTAGAAAAAATAAGATAAGATAAGATAAATTAATAATAAATTCGAATTTTGTAAAGGCGAGGAAAAATTATGTTAGCGACGAGAAGAGAAAATACTCTTAATTTTTGTTTATGTTGTTCAAAAAAGTTAGTCGAAATTTTTATTCGATAAATTTCTTGCAAATCTAGCTTTTTTATTTAACTAATCGTTGTTAATTAATGAATTAGAATATGTTGCAATTACCTATATTATCATCTATATTCATTTTCTCTTAGTATGATTTAAGAATTCAATCTTTCAGTTAACGTTGATACCATTGATTACTTTTATATTGTTAACAAATGCTTTTATACTATGCAACATATAGATATAATACATGCTCGAATGTATAATACTGTTGATTGATAACTGAATTATTATTTAAGAGAATTACTAATCATTTTAATAGTACATAATAGTTTCTTTTCTGAAGGTGTGGTTATAATTGAGCCACTCATTTGCCAAATCGATTAACTACAAAAATATAATAACTAAAAGTAGAGAATAATATATATTCTTTTTCAAATATAAATTACAATGAACATCATAGAATGAACTACGGTACAGGCTTAGAATAATCTGAAATAAATGATTAAAAATATAATTATTCACAAAAATGAATTATATATATTGTATGTTATAATAAATTGTATATATATTTTATATTATAATAATTCTGATATAATTGTCACTTACAAACAATTACATAAGTATTATTTCTATAAAAAGAATTTTTGTTATGTAATAATGTTAAGTCTAATTATTAGGAAAATCCGTTTTAAATATAAGAAGTTAAGCATCAATCAAATCAAGTGTTTTGAAATTTGAAATTTAAGAATGAAGTTAAGCAGTTTGGTCTGGAAACGGCTCAATTTGTTTTGTCAAATCCTTTCGTTTATTATTTAATCGTGTCACAGAGTATTATGAACTGTAAACGTTATCACCTTGTTATTTGTACGTCAGTCTTAAATATGTAGGTATAAGGCAGAGCTGTGACAATAAGCTTTATCTGATAACGATTATGCGTCTAAAACTATAAGAGACGTCAAGGTTGACTGACATGGCTGTTAGTATTGTGACTGATTATTTCTTTTCAATGAATGTGAAATTTTTTAGTGCTATTTTATACTTTCACTCGTAAAAGAAATGAAGAGATACAAAAAGAAGTTAATGAAAGAAAGGATCTAATAAAAACGAGAGTTAATTATGATTTTCATTTGAATTGAAATGCAGTCCCTTGGAATTTAAAATCGAATTTCTCAATTTCTTTTTTTGTTTAAAGTTGAAATTAATAAATACAAATTATATATAGTTACGAGTTACATTCGAATTATGATTTCGATTTGAAAGAACAAAACAAACTACTTTGAATTCGATTTTTTAATTTCAATTTTCTGTAACCCTCAAATACTATCATTGGGTTATGAACTGTGGTAATTTATGTATATTAAAATTTGAACTATTTCGTTCTGTTTTGTGTTTTTACACTTTTTTTGTAATAGAAATTCGACATAAAATAAAAACATCTGTTTCTAATTTTATTGTTTTCAGTGAAGTTACGAGTTAAATTGAAGATTAATAAATATAAATTATACTACTTCATAGAATTAAATCAGTAAAATTGTCGATCTTTGAACTGTTATAGCTTTTAGCTTTCGGAAGATTCAATTAATTGTCTTCACTAAAAAATTGTAATTTAATTATAATTTGATCTTTTAATTTTGTGAAGCAGTATGCATATATTTTATATCCGATATGTTATAAGACTGATGTTTCTCTAAGAAGAAAAAAAAATCATAAAGCAAGGAATTGACAGAAAATATTAACGAACAAAAGCAAGGAAATTTCTCGATGAGTATGTATGTTTTTTTTTTTTTTTTAGTAAATAATATTACTAACAATATAATCCTCATATCCACAAGGAAAATACAGAGAGATCACTGAAGAAAGAATCAATTAAATAGAAAAAAAAAATGAATGAAAATGTTTTATTTATGGCTTTTATTATTAAAATCTTAAATAATAAATTAACAAATGTCGTAACAATCACGATAATTAAATAACAAAACACAAAATAACATACGGACGTGGAAGCACGAAATATGGGGGAGAACTGTGATGATAAAAGAGGGATGAAAGTTCTAACTACTGTAGTAATAGTGATAATAATAATAGCAAGCGGAAATAATATAATATAATATAATATAATATAAAATAATACAATATAATATAATATAATAACATAATAATAATAATAATAATAATAATAAAAATCAATGCTTAATAGCGCAAAAATAAATTATTATACGCGAACGTAGCTCTCGCGAAATCGAATTTCCTCTTTGAGAATATCGTTCAGTCGTGTAATAATTAATAATTATAATTAGAAAAGAATTTCTCTCGTCTTACTCGAGACTCGTTCGTTCTCTACCATTTTCCCACCCCCTTTCGAACGACCACTCTTTTGCACCACAGAAAAACGAAACAAAGAAAGTTTGAAATTTGTATGTCTATATAACATTATAAATTAGCAAATTTTTTACTAGAAATGTTTTTACTAATATTTTTTATTCTAAGAGGTATACAGCGATTGGCACAAGAATGCATAAAATTGAAATTTTATATTTGTGTTAAATAAAATGTGTATTAAACTTTTTCTTCTGAGAAATACTCATTCCCATTTTAGGTACTCGTCCAAGTCCTTTCATAGAACCCAGTTTGCAGCTTAAGTGTTTCATTTGATGTACTGAATATGTAAAATCTATATTTATATTTCAATCAACCTGAATAGTCATTTTAAAATTCATTAAGAACGATTCAACAACAATTCATCAATTTATTAACCTTTTGTATGATTGAGTAGAATAGATTTCATTCTAGTAAATTTGGATAAATGATTTTATCCCAGTAGATTCATTATGAAAATAAATACGAATAATAGCTGAGGAACTGCATAATTATTAGTTAGAAATTCGCAAAGGGTTAATAAAAGTCACTAAATTAGCGGCCCGTGTAATATAATATAATAGTTGTAATATAAATATAATAATTGTAAATGTCTCGATGTTTATAGCATTTAAGGATTAAACTTTCTCTGAAACTTACTGTGGATATTATATCCCAGTTTGTTGCTGTTGTTAAATGAAATTCCATTTTACTAAATTCGTGTCATTTGCTTTTTAAACATTCTTCTGTCCGCCACTGTATATTTTTCAATTTAAAAATAGTACGTGTATCCTACTTCTTCAGTGAATTCTCTTCACAAACAACGAAAATCGGTGTAATAATAATCGTGCAAATAATCGGTCGAATTTGCATGAAGGGAAACGAGAAACGAAAGAGAAAAGGATATATTAACACTAGAACTATTAAAATAATCGAAACGATCAATTTATAATTTTTGTTAGATATTTCATAGATGTGAAACAATGTGTTTCTCACAGATTTGAATGATTTTTCGTTCTCCATTGTATCATAATGCTTTGCTACTTTTTTGACGTCTCTGATCTGAAAGTTCAGAGTTTGATCGTAGGTTTGATCTAGTGTTAAAGAAGAGAAGATGAGAGTAAAGAGGAAGGGAACGCGTCGTGAAACGAGAATTAACAAACTTCTTTCAACATGTTGTACGCTTCGGTGCGATGTTCTTGTTAACGATTTTCTTCGATCGCAAGAAAAAAAAAAAAAAAGAGAAGAGAAGAAGAAGAAGAAAAACATAGAACCGATTTCACGCTATCTCGCACGAACGTTGGTCCAACATTGGAGAAATTTCATCGCTTGGTTTTTTTCTCGATGAGCCACGATTGTTTGGAAGAAACAGGAGACTAGCTACAGCTATAAGACAGCTTAATATTACAATAATTTCATTCTACGTACACTTTGGTCTTCGCTTTGAAATATCGAATCTACAAAACGTCAAAAGATAAAACTAAAAAAAAGAAGAAAAAAAGGAAACAAGCTGAACGCTCACCGCGGTTCTGAATCAACCGAGTATCAATGAATGAAAAATGTCTTCACGTGCGTTTTTTCAAAACTGTCGCAACTCAAAGAAATCGAGAAATTATTTGTAGAAGAGTTAGTTAAAAATAGAATAACAGGAACAAAAATTATTCCTAGAATACAATCCACAGTTTAATTATATAATTCTTCTCGTGAAATATCATCATTTTCTTTTTAAATTTCCCACTCTTAAATTCACGCTTTCAAGATTTTGATGTCTTATAATCTTATAAACAAAGGATTAAATTATTTCGAGTTGTGACAATTTTGGGATAAAATGGCTCACGAAAGCATAATATTCATAGAAATCTTTTGTCGATATATCATTCGTAGACTGCAGAGTTTTATGTGAATTTATATTTTTGAAAGTGTAATTACAAAATTTTACGTATTGAATGTCATTAGAAAGCACTATATGCCTTGATATCGTGCGCATTCTGTGCAATTCTGCACTTTAAGATTTCCTACAAATGCACAAAAATCCACAGTTTAATTATGAGTCATTTCATTAGCCAGACCCAACTGTCCTAATTAGACTGCAGGATTTTTATGCGTTTTTTTGCGAAATTTAAATATGAGAAAATGCACAGAATGCACACACGTAAAAATATATAAAATATTGAGAATAGATCATTGGCTAAATTGTTGCGTATGAAACGGCACGAATTTCACAAGCACGTAGAACCTTGATTTCGTACAAAAATCCACAGTTTAATCACGATTGTATCGATGGAATTTGAAATCTGTATGCAAAAATGCTACTAAAAAATCTTCGAACGCTTCTTAACTTTAATACACAGTTGGTACACGTTTATCGCAAATAATAAAATTTTCTAATTCCATGTGTATTTAATAACATAATTATTAACATATGAGATTCTCCGTTCTATGAAATATCGTTTCATTTCTTCCAATTTCGAGAAAAATATGAAACTTGTCTTTCGAGTCTCTGCGTATGTGAAAGATTTCTATGACGAGTGTCCAAATAATTTCGCAGGCAGAGATTTGTGCGCGACACGTCGGTACGTTCTTCGCAAAATTCCAAAACCGCATGGACATTCAGAAGGGAAAGAAGAAATCAATATTGGATCAATGTTGATGCAGATATTCGATCGAGTATTTGAAATATACCGCGAACGACGATGAAATTTGCGCGATTGATTGTCACCCTGTTGAAGGGTCGCGAGGCGTTTGTCGTTTTGATTTCACGCGGAATCAAAACGCGGAATGATATATACTTCACCGTGCTTACCGCTCACGTTCTCGCGTCTCGTCTTTCCAACGAGCGTTTCAAAGTTTTATCAGACGATAAACCGGCGTACGTGATCGCTGGATCAAACAGAAAAAGAATCAGTCTCGACGATTTCTGATCCGTGGATCTTCGTGAATCACTCGGGCGACTCGTCGATCGATATCAACTCTCCACGTTACAACCAGAATTTCGTTTGCTTACTGTTACTTCGTTGTTGTTAATAATAATTTCTAATAATTGCAATAATGTAATAATAATTGTTATTTAATTGTAGCTATTCAGTACAATTTCGAATCTTGGAACTGATAATTATTATTAGACTTAATTAGACAAAATTTTTCTCTTTGTTCTATTAATTTTTTCAACTGTATTCTTATGTTTTCAAAGTACGAATTTGCATAAAAATTCGCAATCTAATCATTACAATTAAATTATTTGAATTTTTGTATTGTTTGAACATTGTTGGAACTCAAATAATTCAATTAATGAATCAGTGGAATTCGACCATATAAAATTTTGTTAAATGTGAACATACGCATATGTAATTTTCATGTTCACACGACGATGTAATCGAGAAGAGTGAAAAATAGAAAGTGTGTAGAGCGAAAAACAAAAAAGAAGAAGAAGAAGAATAAAGCGAGTGTGCGTCGATCGATTTCGAGTGAAATGAAAATTCGCCAAAGATTATCGTTCGATAACATAAGTTGCAAATTTTTATGCATTTCTTTCTGTTTCTGTAAACTAAAGATCTTCAGAGAAAAAAAGAAAAAGATACAAAGAGTCTTCTCTATAAGATGCAAAGAATATGACGAATCCTCCATAAGAGAGAAACACAAGAAGATGAGTCGGTAAGTCTCGGTTTACCTACGCTGCTCGTCAAAATGACAACTTGTTCTCGCCCCTCCGCTGCCTCTCGCGGGGGTCAGTCCTCTTCTTTCTTCAGTCCAAGTTTTCTCTCCTGATATCGCGGCTGATCGTCTTCGAACCGTTTCGACGGTGGGCAAAGTGAATTTACTCCATCTCGATGGACGATCAACAAATTTGCTACCTTAACCATCTAGTAATGTCAGTAAAGCTCTCGTTGCTGACGAAGGTCAAACACACTTCATCCAACCTTCTTATAAAGCTTTGTTTAAAAGAGAAGAATATACATATATAGATCAGAAGCCTCTGTTCAGCTCAATTCCTTCGAAATTTTCGAAGCGAAGCTCCTCTCTTGATCGTGGATCAACGAATCCGTTGTCAGTTGCCCTATCGTGTTCAAGTCTCTCTCTCTCTCATTGTCACCGAAGCAACCGGAAATCTTCGAGTCAGCCCTTTCCTTCAAGGCCAACCGTTCACCGTCTACCGTCGTTCAAACCGAAATTTGAACGTCATTTCTGGCAGAGCGAGGTTCCCAATCGGGATCGTGTAGTCCTCGTTCTTCACCGGTGTTATCGTGAAGTTCTTCAGCAACGTGGCCAGGACCGCGAAGCTCAGATACTGCACGAGTTTGTAGCCCATGCACGACCTCCGACCTCCGCCGAACGGTAGAAAGTGTTCCGGTTTCAGTAACCTTCCGTTTTGCACGAATCTGTCGGGCATGAATTTCTCTGGCGACGTCCACAGATCTGTGGACATGTTCAGCTCGTAGTTGTTGAGGAAGATGAAGGTGTCTTTCTTGATTCTGTAACCTGAGAACAGAGACAATAATTGTGAGATTGATAGTGTTTCCTGGTACATTGAGTTGGGTTTTGGATTGATAAAGAGAAAGGAAGTATCCGACGACATGTTCCAGTTACTGTGAAAATTTATTTTACTTGTTAAATATTTATGTTAGACGTTCTATTTTTAAATAGATTGTGGAGAAACAAACGGAAAATTTATTGCGAGTCATTCTATTTATGTTGGACAGTTTGCACATTTAATTAGTACAAAAAAATAGCAGAAAGGAGTGAATAATTTATGTACAAATAAGTAAAAGATTTACATTATTGTGCTGTGAGTAATTTTACTTACTAAAGATTTCTGCATTTTTAAATTTCTCATAAATGTATAAATATTCTTTGTTACTAAACTAGGATTTCTCAGCAAGAGAAAAAGAGAGAATAAGAAATTTTGTTTAAAATTCCTATATAGGTTATAGTTAGATATATTCAGTCATATTAACAAAATGTACATAATATATTAAATATGCAATAAACTATCATAATTAATTATCTCTCTCATTAAAAAATATTTTAAGCTTGAATAAAAAATTTCTTATTAATATATCTTATTTATTATTATTATTATCATTATTATTATGAATTATTATATTATTAATCAATATACAGATATACATCTTGTTAATTTGTCCAATATTTCTTCTTGTCCATCAAAACCAGAGCAAAATAGAAGATTGTTAATTCATTTCAATTATTTATTCTAATAAAAAATTTAAGAATTAATACATATAATTGTTAAAGTAACTCTCTAACAATGTATAAAATGTATGAAATTTCAAAATTTTCCAACTACAAATCTGATTGTGCATAAAAATCCACAATCGTGCATTAAAAGGAAAAGCTTACCAGCAATGGAGCTATCCTGATTGGCCACGTGAGGAACAATAGGACTGGCAATTAGTCTAATAGTCTCCAAGATAATGGCCTCCACGTAAGGCAAGGATGTTCTGTTCTCCAATCCAACGAAATTCCCGGCGATACCAAGACTATCGATCTCCTCTTGAGCAACCTTCTGAACGTCCGGCCTCGTAACAATGAATCCTAGAACCTTGACCAGAAGATTTCCAATTGCACTGTGACCGCCAATGATATCTTCCATTACGAACAACGCTGTGTTCCAAGACATCTCAGGCTCTGATCCGCTCTTGACATGATTGATCAGACAGTCTGCGTAGTCTTTCTCAGGAACAACGCCATTCCATGCGTTCACTCGATCAGATATAATGTTCTTAATGACGAATCTTCTGATTTCGTGGCTCCAGTGTGCCATTCTCGCCATGTTTCTGTGATGAAGAGGCATGAGGAATGGTAGGAAATCGGCTGCGTAGCCTTGGTTCACCTCGAAGAATACTTTGTCGAAGTTAGCCACCATATGCCGGAAACCATCGTGTTCCAGATGGAAGTTTTTGGAACAGAGATACGTGATGAAGACGTTCGCGCAGGAATGAAGGATCAATGGCTTCGCGTGCACGTTTGTGTTTGAGAGGGAGTCCAGATGGTTGATCATAAAGTCCATTTCCTCGCCGATTATCTGGTTTAAATCGTTGTAGCGGGCGGAGAACGCGCGAGGGAATGTGTACGCGCGAAGCATGTCTCTTCGGGTCTTCTGCACCTCTGACCAGTTGCAAAATGCCAGAGCTGGAAAATAGAAAGAAAATGGTATTTGTGAATTTGTAGAGAACTCTTGGAAAATTTGGTTAAATACTGTCGTGAGGGGAGAAAATTATATTATATTATATTTTGGGAGAAAAATAAATTTCGAGACAAAAAGATTTCTACAGTGATTTCTTCTTTTTGCAAGAGATTTTAATTTTAAGAGAACTGTGAGGAAAATAATTTCTGTTATAGAGAATTTCGAGACAAAGAAATTTTCTATTATAGAGAATATCGACAATATAATATATATAATATTTATAAAAAAATTTTTATTCTAACTCGAAAAATAAAGATTTCTATTAACTTGAAGCTTTGGGTAAAAATTTTCCAATAATAAGAAATTTCAGGAAAGAAAGGAATTTTATCTAAGGGAAGGAACATATCTAGGAAAATTTTTATTTAGGAAAAAAAGTAAGAAATCTCGAAAGAAGAAAACATGCATTACACAAATGTTTCAAGAAAAACAATTTCTATTAGAAGGATTAAAAAAAAAAAAAAAGAATTGAAGGAATTGTAAAGAATTAAAAAAAGACTAAAATATCACAAATTTGTTGCTCGATGAATCAACAGAGAACAAATCAATCGACGAAGTTCAAAAATTTTCATTGATCACCGGCCGTCAAAGTAAAATAAAGATGACCACGTTAAACTTGACCTTCAAACGGCACCTGGTGACGCAAGTACGACACGCGTTTCGAAATATCGTCGACTGATGGAAAAAAAGAGAAAGACGAAAGAAAAATAAGAGAGAATGGAAACGAAATGGAAAAAAAGAATTTCGCCGACGCCGTACTCTTTCTCCTCTCCCTTTCCGTTATCGTTCTTCCTCTTTCTCTCTCTCTCCGACACGGGGGAACGTGTACGCGGAAATGCAAGCATCGGCGGATGCCGGGGATCGAGCGCGCACTCGGCAGAAAATCGATTCATCGGTGCGCGAGTCAGGCGACTCGATTTCAAATCAAAGCGGTCGCAGGGCAGTCCAGAACAGGAAGTGACCTGGTTTCTCGCCACTCGCCAGGACATATATCGTACAGCTCTGCAACTTGGTTCCTGGAGACCCGAGAAACCCAGGATTTTTTGAATATCTGTTTTACTTCACAAGATAAGCTTACAGCCACGATAATCCTGTTTCAAGTTTGATCGAACGAATGTTAAATTAAAAAAAGTATATGTGCTTACGTGTACGTATATTGCTCGATATTATATTGTATTACATTGAATTACATATGAATTAATAACACATATTGGATTATGTTTGAATTTTGTAGATTTATATTTTACTAAGTTCTAAAGGAAAACTTCTTTGTTTTATAAGATGGCCAATATATACATGTTCTCGATAGTTAGTGTTTTAGTTAGAGTGAATTGAATTTTAAACTTGTTTGCTGAGGCTGTGAAAAGATGTGTTTATAGAAATTTTTGATCAACTAAATCACTGAAGATTGTATAATTTTATGACTGAACATCTTATGATTTTATGATTATTAATTTTATAAATTAAAGAACTTGGATCTAGATAAATATTTGCTTCATTTGCTAATTACAAATAAAAATAAAATATAAATAAAAACTTAGAATTTCATACACATATTCCATACAGTTTAGAATACATAGTTTTAGAATCATAAGTTTTCAGAAGATTTCACAAACGACCAAGGAGCCACAGAATTGTGCCAATCAGGCACAAAGCGTAAAACAAAGTTTACTTTCCACAAGTCCAATCGCTGCGAATCAGAGACAAATTTCTCCCTTCGATGCGATTATTTCTTCACTTCCTAAATAACGAGTCGATCGAAGAGTCTAGACTAAAATCAATTCGACATTTCTGGCTCAAAGTGGTAAATTATGACGAGGACAGAAGACACATGCTTATTGTATTATGCAGGAAGCGACAGAGGGAGAAAGAGAGAGATAGAGAGAAAGAGACAGTGGGAGGGAGAAAATGGTGCTGACTGCGGAGTATCGGAATCGCCTCCGGTAGATCAGCCTTGATCCTGTTTGCCGGCTGCCAGGTGAGCCAGGAACGCGTGAAAGTGGTACCGTGACCTTTCCGGCTTGCACTTGGTACCGCTTCGGCGTTGACCTTAGCACGAGTTTCGGGCGTTCGGTGGATGCAACGAAAGCACGAGCCACGCGAAAAATAAACGGGCTGCGGTTGTGTGGGCCGGCCGCTCACGTGTCGCGTATGGCAAGGTCGTTAGCATGGGGAACGAGTTTTCAGCAGCCGTGACGTGAGGTGTCGACGAATTCAATTTTCACACTGACTCACGCCGATTCGACACCCGTCGAACATATTCTTTTTTCCCGAACATATTCGTTTTCTTTCCTTTCAACCGCTTGACCATTAGGTGCATATGGAAGCCCGATTTCAGCATGCTGGCGCCACTCTTCATTCTAATTGTATGATTTACTTAAATACAATTGCATTCGAGTATAAGCATTGCTTATACATATCGCTCGAATGTAATTATATTTAAATATATTAATTACAACTGCAATATAATGTACACCTCGTTAATTATGTTCAAGAAATAGGGAAATATATTATAAATTACGTGTATGTTTAATGTTGAGAACATTTATAATAAAAGTATGAAAGTTGGTTATATTGTGATGTTAAATTTGGGAAAAGTACTTTAATTTATGTTTTCGTACTAAGAGTTTTTCAGAAAGAAAATAATCGTCGAAATAATGTATCGAGTTAAATGAAAATTAAATAAGTAAATCTACGATATTTTTAAGAAACTAGAGAATTAATTGTGTAAAACGACATCTGATATGCATTTACCTAATATTCTCCCATGTTACGTGCATTTTATGCACTTTAAAATTTCTTATAACCTCATCTCAAGTTTCAAAAGCTCAAAAAAAAAAAAAAAAAAACGAAATTAGATTGATAATTCTTTAAAATATCATATACTTCATTAAGTAATTATTACTACGTGATTCAATATATAATACTTTCCCAATTAACAAACCCTAAAAATTATTAACTTGAAAATTAAAAAATTTTTGAAATTTAACTACAACAATTTGCAGTCTTTATTAATTTATATAAAAAATGGAACGGAGGATGTCCTGAAATCTCTCCAAATGATAAATGCATGCTTCCAATAATTATCAAAGCACTTATTTCAAATATAAACTCAAGCAGGAGAATCATAGAAATGTTTTAATCATTCGTAGTAATTAAGTAATGAATTGAATAATATATTATCTTAATTAGATAATAATTGAAACAACTAATAACTAACTAAATAATAATTTTTCTCTACATTATTTCATTATTTGGCTATCAAATGGAATCGCTTTTTATTTTATATTCAAACAATTTACAGTATTTTCCAATACTTGCGTTTCAACACTGTCAATCGTTTTACAGATATAAATTTCAAATAATTTTGTACTTGAGATTATTCATCGTTCTATTTAAATAATCGAATTAACTCAAATAAGAAATAATTTGGGAATAATTTATTCGAATCTCACAATGTGTTCTAATTTCTAAAATAATTGAAATAATTCATTATTTGTAAACAAAATGTGTCCGAGTCAGCTATATATCTACATAATTTCGACCCGTATAACATAATTCTAATCACGGTGGCTAAATATTTTATAAACAAGTTTTTCAAAGGTTTACGAGAAGACTCGAAGCAGAGAGTGCGGTTACGTAACGCGTGGATACGAGTTTTTCGAATAATCAAAAATAACTATCGAGGCAGTTTGCATGACGAACGAGTTTTCAAGCGGCTGAACGGCTAGTCTAATTAATTCCAGCCCGTTGAAACAGTGGAGGTTTACTTTTTCTTGATTATTCACGAACTGCAAGATCCTTCGAAAAATCTTGGTCGATCTTTAATGAATTACCAAGTAATTTTCAAATGATGACTTGAAAAATCCATTTAAAAAGACAAGATAACAAAGGAAGAGTAACTTATAGACGACGTTTGATTTTGAAAAATTCCCTCGCGAGCCGTGACGTCCAATTTGAAATAGAAACGAGAAACCTAGAACAACGTTCTAGAATCTGACGACGAATAGAACCTTCAGAATGTCAAACTCGAGATTCAAAAAATGATTACTCAACTAGTTCCTAAAAGAATCTCAATCTCAAGGTAAGAACTCGATTAATTTATTCCAAGAGAAATAAAGAAACGGACAACTTTTAACACGAGCAACCAAAAATTCTTGCCGATGCCGGACATCGAAAAACGAAGAAGAAGCAAGAAAGCAAACATATGTTAAAATGAAAAAGAAACGAAGAAATTTTTCCTTACAGTTCTCCTTGTTTCCACCGAAGAGCAAATGATATCTGGCAAAGTTCGGCCTGGAATCGAAGTGATGTCCCTTGATCGTGAGCACTTCTCTGATGTTCTCCAGGCCATTGACGACCACGCAGGGCATGGATCCCATCCTTAACTTGATCACTTGGCAGTCGTAGTCCCTAACAAGGTCAGCGAAAGCTTTGTAGGGTACGTCGTAGCGTCCCAGGATATGAAGGGAGCCCAGAATCGGCCATGGTCTCGGGCCAGGTGGTTCCGGCAGGACGTGATCGTCCAGGATGACGTTCTTCGCCGTTTTCTTGGACCTTAGATGATCCAGCAGGATCAGCGCGAGCGCCAGGAACGTGATGGCGATTAGGAAGCACGTGGTCGCTGTCAGAGGGATCATCTTCGACCTTGTCTCTCCTCGATGCACTCACTGACGATCGGTCACCGATACTGTTTTTCGTGTGGTGTGTGGGTACCCCGACCTAGGGTACCTGTGTGCGCGAGATACGGCTACCGATTGCTCTTTTCGAAAACCTTCGCGTCACGTGCGTCGCTGTTACAGTTTTTTTATTACCGATTGCAAAACTCCTCGATCCTCTCGACGATGACGTGCGTGATTGTTTGAAACGAAATCGTCCAAGATTTGGGCAAATCGTCGCCGAAGCGTAGAAAAATCGCGAAAAAGAAATACAAGGAACGAAGAATGGTAAGAAAGTGAAAAGAGAAAATAAAAAATCCGATCACCTTCGCCGATGATATATATCGGAAACCGTGTGTGATAAATCGGCGAGTGTCCTCTCGATCGGATGGTGAAACCGAATCGGCGAATCGTGCGAAAGGCGAAGTCTGACGGAGGTGATTCGCGGAGCGTGGCCCGTGTCAAACGTGAAAAAGATGCGTCGTGGTCCCGAGGTGTATCGGTAAATCGGTTCGTTGGTCCGTCTGTGAACGGTCTGCCGATCTGGCTCGGTCTGTGGGGATAGGATGGTTGGCCGGCTATCTTATATAGCGGCGTAATGTAGTCAGCACATTTGCGTCGCCTGGTGCGCCTCTCAACCCCATACATATGGATTCGTGTTGAGAGACGAAAGGGGGAGGAGGTGAGTTGGTCTCTCTGTCCGTACACTCTGTCGTAAGTGTATAACATACAACCCGGTGTGTTGCTGCTGCTGCTGCTGCTGTTGGCTACTGGTGCTGCTACTGGTGCTGCTACTGCTGGTAGAGAGACGAATTTCAAGAAAGCACCGAGAGAGCACCGACGACGGATTCTACCGACACTCTCGGTCGTTCGGAGTGTGTGTTGGAAGGAACGTCGGCAGAGAAGCCCGCCGATGAGAAGAAGGGCTCTTGGAAAAGGTGGAGGGAGCGGAACGGAAGGATGATAGAAGGTATGATGGTGGAGAAGAAGGGGCGAGGGGGAGGGGGAGGGGGAGGGGGGAGACGAGGCGAGGGGTGGGAGGGAGGGCGGGCGGGTTGAGAGAGAGACGCAGAAAGGTGAAGGGGCTGGAGGAGCAGGGAGATTCTCTACGACCGAGGAGAGACGTGTGTAATACATGAAGAGAGGCGGTGGGGGAGGGGGTGGAGACGCGACGGTCGGTAGTGGGGTCCAAGTAGGGCCGAAGCTGGGCCAGACTGGCCAACGAAGGGACGCTTCTTGCCCTTGACTTCTCTCCTTAAGGTGCCATCGGGTTTTCTGGCAGCAAGGTGGTGCTCCTCCAGTCCAACGAGCACCTCGTGAGACCGGCTACTCACTCTCATCTCACACCGGCCATCTCAAAGAGCCATACGCTCTTTATCCCGCTCTTATTTTAATGTACTTGACGTTGAACGATTCGGCAGGCTGCCTATGGGTTCTGCAAAAGCGGATCCGGAGCGGGCCGCACGAGCAGACATACACGTCGCATATACACGTCGTATGGTGCCGGCTGTAATCGAAAATCATTGGGTTTTTCCATCAGGGGGAGGAGAGGGGCGGGGGAATATGATGGACTTGCTCGTTAGCCTCGCGAGCTGTCTTTTCGATCGGCCATTTAAGGGCCAAGGGTGACAGAACAAAACGAATCGAAGCGGAGAAAAACCGCCTGTACTCCGCTTCGATTCGCCTTTATACGACTGAAATTTCAGCAACTGGAAAATCGTAAATCGTAAATATGTTATCAACGACGTTAATGAATTTCTAGATGTCGAAGACTGTAGTTAATTGCAATGAAAGTAAAATTTACATTTGCAGTATTAATTTTTTTCTGTAAAACCAAAAGTGATGCTCCAAGATTCTGTTGAACCTTGACGTACAATGGTGTAAATTTTACAAAAAAAAAAGAATTTTTAAATATTGTTCCAATGTTTAATTGTCGTTTCTTTGAAGTTTAACTTTATCATATTAAAGTTTAACATATCTCTCTCTCTCTCTCTCTCTCATAATATTATTTAAGAGAGTCGAAACTTTATTAATTACCACGACGGAATAAATTTTCGCCTGAGTTTCATTTTTTTAATTATGTTCACGAAAATATAAAATTGCAAGATCACACAAAAATCCACCGTCTGATTATATTGTAAGATTACATTTAAAAAAAATACGTTGACAAGATATTTCGATGATGTTTTATGATTTTATTCGGTATTTATTACATCGATTTAAATCCTACGTAAAGTTTCTACGTAGATTTTTTGCTGCCACTGTGTCTTAATCAAATCAAATCAAATTTCGTCGATGACTTATCGAAATATGATCGTACACGGTAGAAGAATTTCGTCGTCACCATCGGAGAGTTCTTTTTTCTTTTTTTTTATTGTTTCTGAAGAAACCAATTGTCCTTTGCAGAATGAAATTTCATTTTATATGATGATACTGGAATATTAGGAAATATCATATTTGTAAAAAAGAATAGATCCTTTGCAATATCGATAGATGCATAGAAAAATGTGTTTTGTCGTCAATTTGATATACATAGATGCAAAATAGAATTCGTCGCTAATAGTATAATGTACTCTGTATTTTTCAACAAACATTATATACAATTTTTCTACCAAGGTACTTGGATAGAAAAATTATGACATCCATACAGTTTTACAAAAAATTCGAAGACTATCAAATTCAAGAGTATCAATTAGTTACTGCAAGTACATTCATAGTTGTAACGTTTTCAAATTCGAGTATAAAGAATACTGATATACCAATCGATAATTTTGATATTTAATAATTTTGTGTATATTCTGTATTTGTACAATTAATTAATTAATGCGTATATCAATAGTACGGGTAAAGAGACTTGAAAATTATTTCCATTTTATTAGTACAAATTTTTAAAAAATAGAGTTAATTTCATTAATTTTTTAAATCACTATATATGAATAATGATAAATATATACTTATATATGTAATGATAAAATTTGGAATGATATTTGTTAAAATCTTCAAAATAGATCCAAAACGATTAATATTCATATATACTTCGAATATCATATAATAATCAAATTGATAAATATGAATTTCGAATTTATCAAAAATTTGTCAACGCATCATAGAAGATCAAGAGATTATGAAACGAAAGAGACCACAATAATTTGAAATTTCGATCGCGAATTCGAATTGATCGATGCTTGAACAGTCTAGTTATCTGTTTGGAAATCTTTTTCTTCAGAAAAATTGTGTTGTTAATGAAAAAATTTATGTGCTCTCAATGGCATAATCTCGGTGTTCTATCATTGTCGAAAACTATTCACGAAATTGGTCATCACTGAACGCGGCGATCATAGTAGGTCAGTCCAGTAGAATCGAATTTAAGTCAGACGCAATTACTTCTGACGTTGGATCTACCTGATCCACTTTGCAGTCCGAGAACTTTCTTCGAAACGTTTTGAATTGTCAAATAACTTTCGCGAATTTATGAAACCGTACGACCATGATTCTCTTTAATGATAATGAAAAAAAAGGTCGTAAGACAAATTCCGATCTTTTTTAACACTTTTTGATTGCCGACGTTTTTATTGTTAAAAAATTTTAAAATAGATAATATTTCAGGAAAAAATTAATAAATAGTAAAAATGACAAAAATACTTTTGGGAAAGAGTAAATATTTTTAATGAACCTTTAAATGCAAAAAAAATGCAACATTTTTGGAAAAATCAAAACAATTTAGATTAGATTTTCGAGCGTCTGAAGAAAATAAAATATTCTAATTATTATCGAAATTTTGTACAAAATATATAGATAAGAATATAATAAAACCGAGGCTAAAGAAGAAAATATTATTAGATGTATCGTACAAATTAATTCATGGTCCTTCTTTTATAAATTTGTCATTCCTTCATAAAAACTCAAAATATATTTTAATCTGGGAAATAATCTCCATCACTTTATATAAATTTACTTTGGATGTTTCAACCCTTAAATGCACACCGTTTTTAATAATAATACATTGTATAATGTTTTTAATAATAATACACTGTATCATGATATAATACATTGTATTAAATAAATATATTGCAAAGACAGTGACATAATTCAAAATATGCGATTTTCGAGTTATCGCTATGAAAATGTTGCAGAGACAATTCTTGACCAATTATGAAAATATTAATCATTGATCTTCATAATTTGATTCTTCCTGATTTACGTGATACAGTGCTGTATTCTATAAATCAGTTTTTCGAGTTACGTCGTTTTCTTTGATGCGATATATTCAAAAATGAATTCTTAATTTGTCTTATGGTACTTTTATTCAGCATTAACACGCAGATGGTCACTGTTATGGATGTTTTTGCTAAATCAATAAATTTTATTAAAATAGTAATTTTATAAAATTTTATTACCACACGTAGGTACATATATTTTATTTTATACTATATTTATAGCACTGTATTCAAAACAGAATTTCATATTTTGAGTTTTTGCATTAATTATTTCAGAAATATCTGTGAAAATGAAACAGACTGAACTTTCAGACTTTTTGCAATTCTAAACTCTCAAAGGATTGAATAATACCCAAGCCTGGCATACATCAATTGCAAATGAATCGACGTGACATTCATTTGCATTAGATCAACACGTCTTAACACTTCTCACGAACAAATAATTTATATAATCAAAGTCCACTGATTCTCCCCCCCCCCCCTGCCAATGATTTTTCGTTCGTACAATAGGAATTTAAATTCGAGTAATTGAATTCAACCAGCAATTATTGATTTAATCGACTAAAATAAAAATGAGTTCGTACAAACCGACTGCCACAATGCAAAAACTGCGTTGTAAAATAATTTGTACGAAAATAAAAGACGGGATTTCTCGTCTAAACTGTCCAGGTATCCCTGAACGGGAATGCGTAGCCCTGAGAGCTTGGATAAGAGAAGGACGACCGCGCGATATCGGTGACAAGGAGGAAGCACGCGACGAAGAGTATGCTCCGAATTTGTTTGAATTGATGAATAAAACATGAAGCTAGTGGAGTGTCGGTTATATGTGCGACTTCCCCCACCACGTGCGTATGTTGTTCTCCCCCCTCCAATACTCTTTCCGAGTCTTTTTCTTTTTTTCCTCCTTTTTTTTCTTTTTTTTTTCTTTTTTTTTTTCCTTTTGCCCCTCTCGCTGTGCGACAGTAGGAGACTGCTTCATCCGTATCGAGAGGCATTATCGAGCGTCGATTTCTGGGAAGCTAGCGGTACCGGCCTCTGGCCGGTAGCTCGAAATCGGCTTAGAGAGGAGGCGCATAACGGGAAAGCTCTCTGGCTCTCTTGCGCGACCCGAAACTCCTTCATTTTTTTTTTTTTCTTTTCGTTTTTATTCTCCGCTCTCCATTTTCCACCCCCACTCGCGATCGACACCGGAATTTTTCATTTCGCTTTCGATCGGTGTTTGCGAGCTCGATCGCGACAGCCTCCCTTTTTGTTTTTGGTACATACGGTCAAGATTCTCTTTCGTTACAGCGGAATATCGCTTGATTTTTGCTGGAACAAAATTTTTGGACGATCGTTGCTATTCTGTTTTCAGTCGTGGCGTGTGAATACTTATTTGCACAAATTTTCAAACTTTTTTCATTTCATTTATTCATTTCTGTTGTATTTCTAACGCTGTGCTGAACATTATGCAATATTACA